GTACTTACAGGGTCATGTAATACTTTTCCATGCACAAGAGAAGCTAACTGCTCACACTCTATATGACTAATAAAGGTGGAAGCTACACACACACACACACACACACACACACACACACACACACACACACACCCCTTCTGTGGGCATTCTTCCCACAATGCCATACCCTGTCCTCCCATATAAGCTTCCCCCTCCCCATAGAATGGAGCTTCTTCCCAGAAATGGGCACCAAGACCAGAAAAGACCTTGCCTCAACAGAACCCGTCTTAACCCCCATGCCATCTCTGGAGTTTTTCTCATAGCCTGTGTTCACTTTTGCCCAAAAGTTAGAACACATAGAGGTCAGAGGGTAATGTCAGGTACCTTCCTCTGTTGCCCTTCGTGTTATTCAGGATCTCTCTGAAGCTGGAGCTTACCAGTTTTTCGAGACACTGGCCAGTGAGTTTAAGGGGTCCATCTCTCTCCCTTGCCTTCCCTCCTCTGGGATTAAAGGTATGTGCTGCCACGCTTGGTTCTTACATGGGTGCTGAGAATCTGAACTCAGATCCTTATTCTTGCCTAGCAAACACTTCTATCTGCTAAACATTTCTCTAGCTCAGGAGCAGGGACTTTTGGTCTACAGCCCCCATCTCACCATACAGGGATAAGGATGGTTTCCTTGCTGGGGAGTTTCATTGCTGTAAATCCTATTCTAATGAGCACAAAGCAGGAGAGAGATTGAAGACAAAAGAAGATTCTGGTATCCAGGAGTGAATACCTAGAAAGGGCATCCAGAGAGAATGGCACAGGGCTCTATCTAAGGGACCTTGGCAGGGGACGGCTAAGTGTTCTGTGCCAATCTTTTGCGTTCCTAGAGGCTTGCATTCTGTGGCTTAAGATTTCTAGCAGTCCAGATTCAAGGGCCAAAGATCATCCTCAGGTCCAGAGAGAAAAGCAGCCAAGATGACAGGGTTGAGGAGGACAATGTCCTTGTGTCCCAGATGGGCCTGGGTAAGTCTCAGAAAGCAGAGATGGACACAGAAAGCGACTCCCAGGAAGCAGACTGAAGACAAGCCCAAAAAGAATGTGGGGGCAGGCATTGAGATGACTGACTCAGTGGGTGAAGGCACTAGCTAGTTCTGTAAGCCTGGTGACCTGAGTTCAATCCCAAGAACCCCCGTGAAGGTGGGGAAAAAAACCAAAAAACAAACTGACTCCACAAGACGGTCCTCTGATCTCCATATACACACCCCACCACATACACTCAGTAATAGTAAATATTAGAAATGCAAAAAGAGCCAGGCGGTGGTGGTGCACACCTTTAATCTCAGCACTCAGGAGGCAGAGGCAGGCAGACCTCTGTGAGTTCAAGACCAGCCTGGTCTACAGAGCCAGTTCCAGGACTGGCTCCAAAGCTACACAGAGAAACCCTGTCTCTAAAAACAAAAATACAAACAAACAACAAAAGGCCAGGAGGCAGAGACCTGGTATCCTCCTGACACCCCTGCCCTTACCCCCCCACACACACACACCACAAGTGGGAACAACAGGTGACTTTTCAGGACCACCTGGCTGTAAGGAACCTGCCCAGACTTTCCTGGACCTCTGCCTCGGAGGGATATGATCTGCATCCTAGGGCATGGATTTCCGGAGAACCCCCTGAGGCGGGCTTGGGATCTCCTGCCTGCTGAGGCCTCTCAATCCCCTGGAGGACCAGCCCCCCACTCCCGCACTCACACACTCTCACACTCACACTCACACACACCCCTCTGACAGCTTCTACATTTGGAACTGACAGATGTGCAAGGTAGCAGCTCGGCACTGCCTGTGCAGCTGAGGCCCCAGCGTCACAAATGAAAAGGGATTATTTCCAGCAAGGCTCAGGATGGCTGCCTGAGCACACGCCTGGTGTGTGTGTGTGTGTACATGTGAGAGAGCATGCATGCGTGACTTCTCCCATCATCAAAATCTGTCTTACTGTATCTCTGTATCTTACCGCTTTCCTCTCTGGGTTTCTCCACTATGGTTTAGCTCACCAGTTCCAGTCTTTGACCCTCACTGGGTCTGCTTTGGTTTCTGTATCTGAATTCTCCAGAGATCAAAGTGGTATTTCCTCTCCCTAACGTTGCTCCTCTTCCCTTTTGGGTCTCATGCAAGTCTTGGGGGTTGAGGAGATGCCTCGTTGGGAAAACACTTGCTGCTCAACATTACATCTTGAGTTCAGATCCCAGCATGTTGTAAAAAACTGGGTGTAGTCATACAAGTCAGTAATTCCAGTTCTGGGGAGGTAGAGACAGGAGGATCCCAGGACTCTCTGGCTGCCAGTCTCGCAGTCTAGCTGAACTGGTGAGCTTTAGAGTCGGTGAGAGACCACATTTCAAAATGTAAGTGCAAGGAAGGTGCCTGACTTTGACCTGAGGCCTCTGTGAGTGTGTGTGTGTGTGTGCACGCGTGCACATGCGTGCACACAAGCAATCATGCACACACCACTTGAATATACCACACTCACAACACACACACATACATAAGAAAAACCAGTTTTCTTCTAGTAAATAATGCTCTGTCCTGTCATTAGCCTGGGGCTCCCATCGGGTGGGTGGGCAGTGGTTGGGATATCTGTCCTAGGGCAGTTTGGAAAGCAGGCCACCAGCCTTAGTCCCTATCTTTCCAGCCTGTCCTCCTAATGAGTCATCTCACTCTACTATTCATCATGCACTCACAGACGATGAGCCCTTTAAAAGCAGGTCTCTCCTCCCAAAGCTTTTGGTCTCCATCTTTGCATTCCCCACCCCCACTATGCTGAGCCTGACCCATGCTGACCTCCAAATCTGGCATCCCTGTAATCCTGACTTTAGCTATATGCTGATCATTCTGACCTTAGAGTGGCCTCAATCCTGACCCTGAAGGACTGTTCCTTGAACTTCCCTTTTCTGAGGGGCTGCCTCCTTAGTTACTGAATATTCTGGAGCAAGTAGGGACCGACACACTGAAACCAGCAGTTAGAGGAATCATGGGAGGGTGCTGTTTACCTGTTTCCTGGGGGATTCTGGCACACTGCAGCCCTGGATGTTTTAGGGTGAAGGCATGAAGCTGTCCTTGTAGAAATGTTTCATAGAGGGCTGCTGGGTGGAGACCATCCCCTTGAAGCTGGTCTGCATAGGCAGCAGGCTTCACACCCAGATGTCCCCTGGGCCACCAGCACTCATGCATGTTCACCCTGATAGCCATCCGCTCGCTTGCCTTTCAGTAAACCCCAGCAGAAGACTGTGGTGAGCTGGGTCTAGTTAAGGGCATAGCTTCTCCAGGCTGTTTGGAAAACACCAACCCTAGCAGCCTGAGCTGCAGAGGCCTCAACAGCCAGAGTGTGGGCCAGAGACTTCTGAAGCTCTTGAGAGCATGCCCCACGTCTGGAAGTGAGAGCCAGGCCCCTCTTTTCCTTTGCTTTAGGGGAAGGAGGCCTGGGTACTGAGGGACTTTAAGCTGCTTTCAGGTTTCTTAGCTGAGGAGGTTCTATGATGTGGGTTGCCCCAAAAGGAAGAAAGGAATTTCTCTTTCCCACTTTTCACTAAAAATTAAGCCAGGCCTCCAAACTCCAGCTGTGGTTACTGGGCCTGAACATTGTTTCCTATGTGACAAATGAGCATTTCTGGGAAGGAAGGTGACTCAGGCCCCTACTATGTCTCAGAGATGCCTGGCACCTGCCCCTGTCTCCAATGTACAGAGAGATGACAGGTGAACAGGGCAAGGATGGTTTTCTCTCCTTTATTTCAGCAGCTCCCTCATTTAACCCCTACTTCCAGCAGGCCCCAGACGAAGGTTTGAGGGGTTCTCCCGCTAATTTTCCAGCTTGCTGTCTCGGGGCTTCCAATCTCAGGATCATCTCCCCGCACACCAGGTCATTGAGATGTAATCCATGTTGAAGAGATGTCACCCTGAGATGCCTCCTCTGCAGCGACTGGAAAGGCCCATTGCTTACTTCCCTCATCCTGGGTGAAGGGCACAGCTGGGCCCTCCCGGCATGTTCACACAGGGGTGTGCACACATGTCACATGAGTCACAACTTCTGCACACATTAGCAAGTAAGACCAAGTTCTTTGGGGAAGGATGTGGGTGGAGGTCAGAAGGCAGTGTCCCAAGGTGCCATGCCTTGAGGTGAGACATGGACACAGGTGAATGAGGCATGTTCTAGGAAAATGATCCAAAGTCAGATGTTGAGGGGTAGCTGACACCTCCAGGCTTTGTGACAAGGCACCTATCCCAGGTTTTGTGGGGCATGTGGGCATATGCACGGGGGAGGTTCCTGCCCACTCTGACCCCAGCTGGTTCCACTCATGGGCACAGATATCACAGCTCTGTGGGAGTAAGACTGGCATGTTTCCCGCCCTAGTTCCTCAGGAGGCAGCTGTGGGCCCCTAGCTCAGACTATTAAACAGAAACAAAAACTGCCCAGCTCAGTGACAACAAAGACAAAGAGAAACCATGTTTGCCTTTTGGCTAATCCACAGCCCTGTTCACCGGGCAGCTGGACTCTGCGCATGTGCAGGCATGTATTTATGTGTGTGCTTGCATGTGCTCTTGTGTGGGTTGGCTAATGCCAGGCTATGAACTTTAGGAGACAGATGGCTAGGCCCTGGAGGCCAGCACAAAATCCCCAGTTGTGAATGTCTGGAGACACTGAGGCCAGGGCTGGAGTTGATGCTGGGGAAATCCCTGTGGGCAGAGATGGTTGTAGGTCACTAGGGTGGCCTTGGGGCCTGTGGAGGAGAGTGAATCTATCCCTTTGTGACATCCCTTAATTCTTTGAGTCCCTGTGAGTCTAGAGGACAGACCACTTAGAATACTCTAAAGCCTCTGTAATCAGAAGACACGAGAAAGTCCTGCCACCTTGTGGACACATGTGGTATTCCTCCCTGAACTCCTTGTCTATCAATAATAAAAGAGGCAACAGGTCTTTCTCAACCATAGGGCATTTAGTGCCAAACATTTGCAAACATTAGGCCATTCTTGATTACCCGTAGGGATGTGTGCAGTGCTTTATTTATTTTAAATGCATTGTAATACACAGTCTTTTCAGAGGCAGAAGACTGACTTGTTGTGGGTTACCAGCGGGTGAGAAGAGGTCTGAACCCAGCCATTTCCATTCCAGAAGAGGGTAAAGACTCCACTGGGACAGGTGATAGAAGTCACCCCCTTCAACCTTGGGGAATCCTGTAGGACCCCAGGCGGTTGTAACATACCCTGCAGGAAGGAGAAGTCCCATCTTTCCACACTGCACAGCCCCAGAGTGCCCTCTGCTGGGCACAAGGAGGACCAGGTCTCCTAACACAGCAGATGCTGGGCACAGTCTTTTTATTTATTTAGATGCTTGGGAACTTTGAGTTCCTTGTTAAAGGCTGTCTACAGACCAGTCTCACAGCAGAGCTTCCAACCATAATTATAGGTTGCACACGGTTCAAATCTCTCATCACTTCCTTCATGGATCCTTGTTCATCCTCCACACAGCAGACCATGAGCCACAGGGAGGTATCATTAGGGGTCACCACAGCAGCCAGGGCCTGTTTACAGCACTGCCAGGTTGGCAAGGGGTAGAACTGGAAATCCCAGCACTCATGCTGAGGACTGTCTGCTGTACTGGGAGTACTGAGAATGGACACCTGTTGACCAGCTCTAGAACCTAAGTAAAGCGGGTCAGTGTGGACAGAAGCATGGCAAAGGCATAGACGTTCTGGGAGATCCATGTTGCTGACTCTGGACCTACACTTACCACTGTGCCTGGACACCAGGAGGCAGACAGCTCTCTGGTCGTGATCTTGGAAGTGACAGTAAGGTTCTCAGGATACCCTAGCTAAGGAACTGCGGTGTCACTCCTCTAGAGGAGGTCAACAGGCATCCATGAAGGGCAACCCACATTATTACATCTGCCTTATACCGATGTGTTTGGACTAGAGTCAAGGGGAAACAGTGGATACAGAGGAAGAAGGCATCAGAACAGTCGTAAACAATTAAGGAGCATTAATGTGATTCTCTTGGTCCTCTTTCCACATCAGATCCCATCCTGCTCTCCCCACAGACAAGACAGTCAACCCCTCTGCCCAGGGTTTCAGCATTCCTCCTCTTCCCAGCTCTAAAGTTCTCTTCCTGGGGATAGAGATCCTACTCCAATACACATCACCCCTCTCAAGGCCTTCACCAGCCATCTGTTGACTGGTAGTGCCAGCCACTCCCTGCCCGCTGTGTCTGATTGGTTATATTTGTGTCAGGTCAGGTTGGAGGGGTCTCTGTGGCAGGACATGGTCTTAACAGTCATAGAAGTCAATGTGGGCTCCAGACTGGAAGGTGTCCTTTTGCAGCAAGGTCAGCAGTTTCTGGGCTGAGGTCCCACAATCCACCAGCTCCCCCTTCGACTTCAGCTCCTGCAGTCTGGTCCTTAACTCTGGGTCCTTGGAGGTTTCTCGAGCCAACTGCTGCATGTCTGTGTCCAGGGGACCTAGTGGATGGAAAGTTCAAGACAGGGACAGAGGTTGAGATCCCACTGTGTGTGGAGGGTGGAACTGAGTCAGGTCTGGCCCAAGGCTCCATTATGTTGTCTGTTTTTTCGTTTTTCTGTTTTCAGCTATTGTCTCTGTTGAAATTCCAGATTCCCCTCTGTAGCCTCTAAAGACCAGGATTATGAGTGACAGCCACCATGCCCAGCTCACATGACTACTGAGTTCTGAACTCAAAGCTAAAGTCTATTAAGGGTGGTTTACAATCAAGCTCATCATCTCTTACCCACGTGACACCTCTTCCCGACTTTCCCACTCTATCAATAGAAAATAGGACCCCACAGGTGTCTCACTCCACCTCAGCCAACCAGGGACCAGGTGAGACGTCAGCTTGATCTCAATCAGGTCTATACCATAACCTTTCTTTCCCCTTGTTTCGTCACCTTCTCGAACCCTCAGATAAATTCATCTTGCTGCCCTCTGCTGATTCACATGGGTCCTCAAAGCCCTGGATGGGGGCTCAATTGGTAAAGTACTCAGTGTACAAGCATGAGGACCCGAGTTCAGATCCCCAGTAAAAAGCTGGTGTAGGGGATGGAAAAGGGCATGGCTCCATGTCGATAGACCTTGCTGTTCTAGCAGAAAACCAGAGTTTGATTTGCAGAATCAACATGGAAGCTCGCAACCATTTGTGACTCCAGTTACAGGGAATATGATGCCCTCTTTTGGCCTCTGCAGGCACTGCATGTGATGAACAGAAACACATTCAGACAAAATACCCATAAACACAACACACACCTGTCACAAACCACCTTTTTAAACTTTACTGCATTTCTGGAGAGTGTCTTCCTCGTGCTAATAAACAGCCCTCAAGGAATTGTGTAAACTTTTAATGGTGTTCACGGACAGAAAAATCGTGGAACCCAGGACTGGATGAAGAATCACTTTGCGTCATTTGAATGTCCTCTAGCCTGCCCTCCTGTCTCATTTTGAGAAACAATCTCCTTTAGCCCACACAGGCCTCTGACTTGTTGTATGGCCAGGGCTGACTTTGAACTCCTGCTCACACCTCTCAAGTGCTCTACCATGCCCAGTTTTATCTCCTTGAGCACCTCTGGGGACATGCAAGCTATCTGTCCAAACAGACACCTCTCTCTTTGGAAACCTGTTAGAACATTCTTACTAGAGAGGTTCCTGCTTGTCTACAGGCTCAGGGAATACCTAAACCTCTTAGTTAGTTCCTCCACGATCTCTGAGGCAGCCTCCAGAGAGCTAACTTAACTCTGGGCTCATCTGCAATCAGCTTCCCTCCTAGCTGTGGCTTACATGTGATCACTGCTGTCTGAATGAGTCTAGGCTGAGCTCAGAGCAGGTGGGCAGGAACAAGCAATTTCATGGATGTGTGTGAAGGGCAGTGCCAGGTAATATGAGGAGACCCAGGTAGATCAAGAGATAGATGCTAGTTTGAATCCAGCCCGGCCACTCAAGTAGTAGACAGACCATTATCCCACCTGCCTCCAGGATCCTGACCTCCTCCTAAGGGGAACAGAAACCTGGATCTCACCCTTGAGTTGCTCACACATTCCTCCATATATTGCTACTTTCTAACTACAGAAATCACCAGGCAAGAAGAAAGGCCCCAGCACAGTGGCATCTTAACAGGCTGGTGAGACAAGAGAAGGCATCAGATGACCACCTACACTGTAACATGGATGAGAAGAGGACCCTGTCTTATTCATCCCAGCACCCCTTTCCCACCCCATTCAGAGTTCCAGCTTAGCTCAGCCTGGGATGCTCACCACTCAACAAGGTCTCCTGCTTGTCTTTGAACATTTATTGTGGCTGGCCTACATGAAGGTTTGCTAGGTTTTGGGGAGACATGGATGAATAGTATCCCTTAAGGGAGAAAAACACACAGCTAAACATATAAAGGTAATGGAGCCTTTTGCTTTTTAATTGTAATTTATTTGTTTACACAGGTATGGATGTTTTGTACCACGCACTAGTCAGGCAATTCCTAATGCTGAGTACCTCTGTCTCTGAAAGCTCTAACCTCTTTGTCTGTATTTTCCTTGCATGATGAGGAGCCAAGGGAGCAGGGAACAATATATTCTTTAGATTCCTTTCTGAGAATATCGACAAGTTCCCCATCTTTCCAACCCCAGAAAGGTACCAGCCATGTCTGGGGCAGTAATGGACGTATCACCCACTTACCTGGAGCATAGCTCAGCACCCTCACACTGGGTTCCTCAGCAGCTAGGACCTGGTACAACATGTCTCGGGCAGCCTTCCCGGCACAGTACAGCCCCCAACCCTTGAAGGGCTGTAGGGCGCACAGAGATGAGATGTTAACCACAGTCTTGCTGAGGCCAGGCCTATCTGCGAAGGCTTTCAGAGTGTCGGAGGTCAAGCAGAGCATGGAGGTCAGGTTTAGAGCCCAGTAGTTGTTCACCTCAGCTGGGTCATTCACGTTCAGGAAGCCTTTGGACACATCCCCAAGAGTACCTGAAGAAACAGGACGGAAGATATGACACAGCAGCGGGGACTCTCTTCTCTTCAGCCTTCCACAGTTTCTCTCATATCTCTTTTTCCAATTTATCTCAGATTTGCAGACACTGCTAATGCAAGCTAAGAATACACCTGTCTGAGACCTCTTTAGAAAAGCAGGGGGATTAGTTCTGAGACCTGATGTCTTGACTTCCGCTCCCACCAGGAGGCACTGTTCAAGGCAATGAGAAAGTTTCACAGGAGCTTTAGACAAGGAGGCTGGACTAACCCTGCAGGGACATCCTGTTTCCGCTTGGAGCCTGGACTTTTAGGGACGACCCACTGGTGAGAGTCCTTAGCTCTGGTCTGTTTGGGAGTCTTACCTGCATTGTTGATGAGCAGCAGGCGCTGCAGCCCCTCCGGCCTGGGGAGCTTGCGCACTGCGCACAACAGCTGCTGCAGTCCTGCCTCGGTGCCCAAGTCGGCGGCTGCCCGCACCACTCGCAGGCCAGGATGCTGTGTGCCCAGCTCTTCCTCCAGATGCAGCAGCGCCAAGTCACTACGTGCGCTCAGAAGCAGTACGGAACCGGGCGACAGCAACCGGGCCAGCAGCGGGGCAAGGGCGCGTCCAAAGCCTCGGGAGGCCCCGGTCAGCACACACACAGTGAGGCCCAGTCCGTCTCCTTCCATGACTGGAGCTCAGCTGAGCACACAGCCACTAAACCGAAAGGGGGCGGGCCTAGCCTTGGCATTGGGTAGCAGAAGGGCGGGCAAGCATTCACCAGTGTCTGGGTGAAGAGAACCACCAATAGCCAGGGAGGCATGATCTGACAGGAAATCCCAGTCCTCACCTCAGAGCAGCCTGATTCCACTTGAGCCACTCCCACAAGCTGAACTCCTGCAATGTGCTAAGTTTCCACCAGTTGCAGAACCAGCTTCCTCCACCAGGGTTGACTGGTTTGTCTTCAATCACGCTGGGCATACCAGGAAGTGACCAGCAGCAGCAGTGGATCAAGTCCTTCCTTACCTGTGTAGAGTTTGGGGTACCCTTGCACTCTGGGTGACAGAAGCTTTCTCTAGAAGTGCACAGCAGCTCCCCCAAGGGAAAATGAAGAGGGCATGGGAAGAGAAACCCCATGGTCACAACAATCTCATAAACAAGATAATGATCCATCTAACAGTCAAAATACACCTTGATTCCTTGGGAGCTTCCGACAGCAACCTTTAGGCCTTGTCAAGAACGTGTTAAACCACTTTATAATGTCAAACAGTAACGAAAAATTCCCTACACTAGCGTGGTGGTACACACTTGCAGACCCAGCACTTGGGGGATGTCAGGGAAGGATAGGGGGTGTAAGAAAGAGACTGTTACTCAATATGACGTGAGCTAGAGTTGATCATAGTGACAGACAAGCAGATTGCTCTAAGACACTCTTCCCCACCTAGCCCCTACCAACTTTTGTTTCAGAAAGGTACAAGTGCTGTGTTCAGTAATTCAGCTGGATCACATCAAGGAAGCTGCCAATCAGAAGGGGCCAGTCTCAAGTCCCAAATTATTTATTGCATGAGGATTTTGTTCTGGCCAATGAGATGTGGAATTAGTGGATGCAAGTCCTACAAGCCTGCAGGAGAGAACAGGAATGTCTCTCAGTATGTTTATGAAAGCCACTGTCTTGTGCCAAAGCAGCACCTTGGCCATTTGTGACCTGTCTGTATGCTGGAGTCCCTTTCTGCAGAATTGCATATTGTGAAAACCTCTTAGTTTCCACCAGTCTCCTGAGTTTGGTATTATCTGATTTCCAAAAGGAATTGAAGGAGCTTCCAACCTACATAATGCGTTCAAGGTCAGGTGGAGTAAATGAGCCCCTGTCACACAACAAAACACAATACAGAAAAAAAAAGGGCAGGCATGGGGTGTTTGTGGAGATAGCTCAGTCAGTGAAGAGCATGCCTTGTCAAGTTTGAACGCCAGAACTCTCCTAGAAAAACTGGATGTATCTTTATAGCTATCTCTTTACACACACACACACACACACACACACACAGAGAGAGAGAGAGAGAGAGAGAGAAACAGAGAGAGAGAGAGACACACACACACACAGAGAAATGGAGAGTCTGTGTCTTGAAAAATACTTTTAATAAAAGTGAGGTGATGCGGTACTTGTAATCCCAGCATAGGGAAGGCAGTGCAGAACCCTGGGAGTCCCTGGCCAGCCAGCCTAGCCTATTTGTTGAGTTTTTCTGAGCCAGGGAAAGAATGTGCTTTTGAAAACATTTTAAAGATGGATACACAGAATGAAACACATTGTCCTCTGGCCTTCACAACCACCCCTGCCTCTCACCCTCATCCCTACACACATGAACAGGAGCATCTGTAAATACACAGAGGAAAAAAGAGAAAAAGGAAAGAAAAAGAATCCTTAAAGGAAAGTAAGCTATATATTTATATGTTTTGAAAATCTCTTGTAATCATTTTATGTATCATTTGCATGTGTATGTGTGTTTTGTCTGCATGTACGTTTGTGGACCACATGTGAGAAGTGCATATTGTGGGGCAGAAAAGGCTTTTTGTCCTCTGGAACTGAAGATACAGCCACAGTTGTGAGCTGCTTTGTGGGTGCTGGGAATTGAACCGTGGTCTTCTGGAAGAGAAACATGCATGTGCTGTAACAGGCTTTCTCTTGGGCCACCAACAGCTCACAAATCACGACACAGAGATTTCTTATTAGTGAGGAATCTTCGGTCTTGTCTTATTCTTATTTCTGGCTGGCTTTTAGAACTTAAGCTGTGCCTCTTCATGTATGTTTTGACTCATGGTTTTTATCTCTTCTGTTTGTCCTACTCTGTCTAGCCGGCTGGCCGATGCCTGGCTTCTGGTACAGGACATGTCCCTCTCTTCCTCCCTTCTTTTCTTCCTCTTCATTCTCTCCCCCAGACTAGAGTCCTCATCCTATGTATTCCTTGGCCTCCGTAACTATTGACTGTTCAGCTTTGTACTAGAAGAAACAGGTGCCTTAGGATGGTGAAGTGAAACAGCAACACCTCTTTACATAGTTAAACAACTGTAGCAAAAATTAAAGAAACCCACCTTTACATAATTAAACACATGCAGCATAAAGTAAAGAAACACACCTTTACAGAAACAAATGCAGGATCAAGTAACACATCTTTACACAGTATAGGAATATTCCACAACAAGATACTCTTCAATGCTGAGCTATCTCTCTAGCGTGGTTTAATCTTATTCACAATGTAACAGAATGCAAGGGCTCAGTGAGGCTGCCCGGAATTCCAGTACTCAGGAACCTGAGGCAGGAGGATTAGATTCATGGCCAGTCTCAGCCACATCGTAAGTTCCAGGACAGCCTGAGCTACAATAGCCCTAAAAACAAGCCCCACTCAATCACATAAAAATCTGTAAGTGTCGGGCTATAGGATGCAGTGTCCCGTGATGTTTATGATCTTAACTGATAAGCCATCTCTCCAGTTCCTTTAAAGAATTAAAAAGGTCTTCATGTGGCTGTCACAAACCAACAAGCCCAAAAGCTGTTGGTGGAAGCAACTGGCACTACCAAACTTAAAGACTCAAAGGGCAATAGTAGAGAACTGTCACAATCCCAGATCTGTGTGCTGGTTACTTTTTTGTCAGCACCAACTAGAGTCATCAGAGAAGGAGACAAAATGAAGGATTGTCCCCATCAGACTGCCTTTCCAGCAACTCTCTGGAGGAATTTCTTGATTGACACAGGAGAGTACAACCCACTGTTGTTAGAGCCACTTCTGGGCAGGCAGCCCAGGGTTCTATAAGAAAGGAGGCTGAGGGGCTGGAGAGATGACTCTGTGGTTAAGAGCACTGTCTGCTCTCACAGAAGTCTTGATTCAATTCCAGTATCCACATGATAGCTCACAATCATCTATGGTGTGATCAGATTCTCTCTTCTGGGGGAGAGCAGACATACATGAAGAGGAAATACTCATCTACTTAAAACACAAAAATAAACAAATCTTTAAAAGAAAAGAAAAGAAAGAACGCAGGCTGAGTAAGCCAAGGAAAGCCAGTCAGGTAGATTCTTTTCTCCAGACTCTGCTTCATTTCCATCTTGCAGGTTCTCTGAGCCCCTGTCTCTGCTTCTGTCTTAGTCAGTGTTCTATTGCTGAGAAGAGACACCATGACAAAAGCAACTCTGATAAAAAACATTGAATTAGGACTGGTTTACAGTTCAGAGGTTTAATCCATTATTGTCATGGCAGGAAACATACAGCTGGACAGGAAGCTGAGAGCTCTGCATCTGGATTGGCAGGAAGAAAGGAGAGAGAGACCTGGGGCCTGGCTTGAGCCTTTGAAACCTGAAAGCTCACCCCAAGTGACACACAGTCTCCAATAAGGCCACACCTGCTACAACAAGGCCACAACTCATAACAGTGCCACACCCTGGTACCAAGCATTGGAACACATGAGTCCATGGGAACCATTACTCTTCAGACCACCACATCTTCACACAGAGAAAAACTGTACGCTGTAGACAATATAAAACTTTTGCTCCCCATGTTGTTTTGGCCAAGGTGTTTATCACACAACAGGAAAGTACTAACTACCCAGGTGTACAAGTCTACAAGCCCAGCTCTGTGAAGCCCAAGCAGGGGAGCACAAACTCAATCACAGCCTCAGAGCCTGCCTCAAGACGAAAGCTGGGGCGGAGCTCAGCAGCAGAGGGCTGGTCATGCATGCCCACAGCCCTGCGCTTGATCCCAAGCACAGAAAACACTAAAGGTTAATGACTGTCTTTGTGCCCATTGGGCTGGTAAACTGTTCTCCAGAGAATGTTCTTGTCATAAAGAGTCATGTCTGTTACGTATGTCAGGAAGTTTCACAGAATACAAAATAAATACTTAGAAATGTAAATATTGAGGAAACCTAAAAGAGTGATATCCAGGGGTTCTTCATTATTTCCTTCCATTTTGGGGTTTTTAATCTTGGAGTCAAATGTAGTCAAGGCTGGTCTTGATTACCTTGACTCCACATCCTCAGTGATCTGAATACTGGACCGGGACACCAGCCTAGCCTGTGTGTGTGCATGTGTGGACATACGAGTGCATATGAATTATGTACATATGTGAAGGTCACAGTTTATCTCTGTGGTGTCTTCCTCTGTCTCTCCTCACCTTCTCTTTTGAGACAAGGAATCTCACACAACCTGGAGATCAGACTGGCTAGTCTGCGGGCCAGTGAGATTCAGGGATCCACCAGTCTGCATTAGCTTTAACATGGTGGAAGGAATCTGAACTCCAGTATTCACACCTGCACAGAAGGCACTTTACTGACCCAGGTTTCTCCCTCTCACATATTCCAAACTTTGGAAATTCTGAAGCTGCTTCTAAATACAAAGTTTTCAAAAAGAAGTGTATAGGTCAAATAATAAGGCTAATAACATACTACTCAAGAGGTTAAAGCAAGAAGGGCAAAATTCAGTCCACACCAAGTAACAGCACACTGTGTCTTGAGTGGTAAGAACATGTACATGTATCACCACACTCAGCTTTATACAAGAAGCTTGGAAGTTCTACCTGAAGGTCAGCCAGATGGCTCAGTGAGTGAAGGTGCTTGCTGCCAAGCCTGATAATGTGAGTTCAGAACCATAGGCCTACATTGAGGGAAGTGAGGATAGGCTCCTTCATGTTTTCCTCTAGTTTCTTTTTTGTGCATCATAACATGCATATGCACACACAAACAACCATATACTAATATAATGGTAAGACAAAAAGTTACCAAGCTCAGCATGGCAGCTCATAGCTGAAATCCTAACACTTGTCAACATCATTACACTCCTTACACCTTGAAATTCTGATCCTACCATCTAAGTAGAAGAAGGAGGATCAGAACATCCAGCCCAGCCTTGGCTATATATTTCCAGTATGAGGCCAGTCTGGGTTTTAGGAGACATGGAGTTAAGTAATAAACAAGTAGATCTAAACCCAGTGTGGTGTCCTATGGCTCCAATGTGAACGCTTGGATCATAAATTCAAGGCCAGAGTGACTTACTTATCATATTCCAGGTCATTCTGGACTAAATAGATCCAGGTTAACCAAAACACACAAATAGAATTGGTTGAATAAGGTAGCACACACCTTTAGTCACATCACTCCACTTATGGTAGCTTATGTTTGGGAAGTGAAAGTGGAATAAATATCCCTAAAATTGTTGTTTGTCATGAGGTTTTATCATAGCAGCTGATACACAGTGTCCATAACGCAGTAAAGGACAACATCTGCAGCCTGTTATACTTCAAATGATTCCACTTAAAATTATTAACCATGAGATGGTGTGTGTTAGAGTTTAGATGTCAAATGTCCATGGAATGATCCTGTGTTTAAATATTGATTCAACTTTGGAAATCCAACTAGCAATGACCTTCCCTGTTTTTAATTTTGTGGAAAAACTGGGAAATCAAACCTAGGAGGAGGAAGTGAGTCATGTGAGGTATAGAGAAGCTAACTGAGGCCAACATTGGACCTCCTTGGGCCATTCTGTCCCAGAGACCAGACCAGCTTTCATGTCCTTGGGGACATGTGTGTGTGTGTGAGTGTGGTATTTTGAGTAATCATAGAACCTAGGGTGACAGGGTATGGCTTCATCACCCACATGGGTTATCTTAGGGTTCTTGCAGACAAGTCTTTTCTTGATCATTTTGACCATATCAGGCTACTGCCTCTGGGATCCTGAGCTATGGTGAGAAATCTCACGCCTAATGGGCATCATGAACGATGTCATCTTTAATCCCCACAGATGTTAGTTCTAGGCCCTAGGGTGCAAAGGACCACATTATTTTGTTACAACATCCCAATATAATCATCATATAGGATTCAGAAATCTGTCTTTAGAGAAAACATGAAACTTAGAGCGCAGACATTCTGAGTTATTACAACCTTGTCATAGGGTGCTAGGGTCCAAAAGAAAAACAAAACACTATGCACCTACTAACTGGAGACTGTCAGAGTCCATAACCAAGGAAGGGTCAATGTTGTGGGGCCCTTTGTTATTCTTATGATTACTTATTTCCATAATAAAAGTGAAACACATCCTGGTTAAGGTTTGGGTGTCAATGTCCCCCGAAAACAAGCATTTGGACACAGTTCCCACCAGGTGACATCATTTGAGAAAACTTGTGAAACCCGGGGAAGTTGACTTTACAGGAAGAAGTGTCTCACTGGGCACACTGGGGACAGTCATTTGAGTGTAGACAGTCTTATCAGGCTCCTACTGCCTCACTGAGCAGACTAGCCCTCCTGTCCTTGGTGACAGAAGGTAAGAACACCAGTGAGGTGTGCTGAACCATCATTGGTCCATTTCTTTCTGTGACCTCACAATGACAGACTCCTCTGCACTAACAGCTCTGGCTGAGGCTGACTCCAGTCCTTACAGCGCAGAAGCTGTTAGCTGGTTGGAGATAATTGAGATTTGGATATTAGTGAGAAAGTTGTACTTGGATATTCAATTCAATTCTTGAGTTGGTGAATCTGAACACAGTGAGTGCCCTGTAGTTCATAGATACCAGGTTTAGAGGTTTTGTTTCTCTGAATTTCAACTGACTCTACCTTCCTCCTTCCTTGGTTTCGGGTACAATGTGGGACAATTTTTATATTAGACCTTTACTCTATTTTAATGTGCCATTTTACCTGGACTCATTCCTTCTTTCGCCATTCAAAAATATCTTTCAGGCTACAGTGGATGGTCTCTTTGAGAAGGGTTTAGAGACATTGTTTCTCTGAATTTAAATAAATCTACCGTCCTTCTTCCTTGGTTTGGGATACAATGTTGGGCATTTATTATTTTTTATTAGAAAAATTTACTGTTTCTGTTGGTTGTTGGAGACAGAGTTTCTCTGTGTTGTTTTGGAGGATGTCCTGTAATTGCTCTGTAAACCAGGCTGGCCTGGAACTCACAGAGATTTGCCTGCCTCTGCCTCCCGAGTGCTGGAATTAAAGGTGTGGTCCACCAGTGAGCAGCTGAAATACTCTATTGTAGTGTGTCATTTTATCTAGACTTATTCGTTCTTTCACCATTTAAAAATCAGTTTATATTAACTATAAAAGATTCTCACGGCACCATTTACATTCATGTACAAAAACTTGGTGCACAGTCCCCTGATCTCACTGCCCACCCGTTCCAAGTCCCTCAGTGATTCCCTTTTTATTCAGCTGCTTTCTGAGTACATGCCATGTCATGTGGACTCCTGTTGAGAGGACTGACAGGCCACAATGGATGGTCTCTTAGGGAAGGGCACCAATGTGTCTGCTTTGGCAGGAAGCCTCCTGCTTGGTGGTTATCTTAGGATCTTCATGGCAGTTCAAGGTCATGATTGGCAAGGGCAGAAGAAATAGTCAGACGCCATTGATTGGATATTATGTATTGAACAGGGCAGCAGAAAAGAATTCAAGAACAGAGTAAGTGAAAGTGTAAAGAGAGCCGGCAAACTCTTAGATGCGGAGCAGCAATCAGCTCACCTTCCTATTTGGACTGACACCCAACAAGCAAAGTGTCTCTCTGTCTATCCCAAGGAAACGACCCTGAATCTCTAAGAACCCCGTACTCCTCCTGGTACATCTCCTTATCCCGATTCCTGACTTCTCCAAGCTCTCTATACCTAATTCCTATAAACAGTTTGCTGGCTCCACCCTCTGATGCAAGTTTAATTTTATGAACAAAGACTCTAGGTATGCTGGCTTTCCCATTGAGCTCATGTACAAGGTGCATCAGCTGACCCTGAAGGAGTCTCCTCCGGGTGAGCACCACGATTTGGATCATATCTGATGGTGGAGTGTGTGTGTGTGTGTGTGTGTGTGTGTGTGTGTGTGTGTGTGTGTGTGAAAATATGTGCCTGTGTAATGCAGAGTCACTGTTGAAATCTTCAATCCTAATATAACAGTAGTAACAAGTGGGGACCCAGGAGCACTAGAGTTTGTCACACAGCAGAACATGTGGCCTTTAAGAAAAGGCTTCATAGACTGACTTCATGCTTTTCCTTGATCATGTGAGAATACACACAAAGTACTAATTAGAGTTAGAGTGCAGTCCTGGTGTACACTCGGGCCCCAGGTACTTGATCTTATCTTGTGAATGTCCAGATACACAAGCAAACCATTTCTGTTGTTTTTAAGTGACAAAACTGAGGCATTTTGTTTGAGAGGAAGAGCCTAGGGTGTTAATTGTGGCTCCATCTTTCACATGTTGTCTTAGGGTTCTGGAACAGAAATATTTTCTTGATGATTTGAATATATCAGTCTACTGTCTCTGGGATCACAGACTTTGGTGAGAAGTCTCAGGCCTAATACGGATCATGTGATGAATGATGTCATCTTTAACTCCCACGGATGTTAGTCCAGGTCCTGGGGTTCCATGGAACACAGCATTTTGTCACAACATCCCAGTGTAGTCAGGAGCTAACTCCTGTGAGTGAATGCTCCTGAGCTATCTCCCCACACAGACACTCTGGGTTTTCAGGTGTCTGTTGCCTTGGGAACTGCTCTTGAATCTGGTTTTAGTAGCACCTCACTTCTGTGAGTGTTGGGTGCAGAAAGAGGATCATGATGCTCTCCCAATGAGTGGGTCTTAGCTTCTGTGACCTTTGTTTTTTTCTCTGAGTTTCCGGACGCTTCCTGCATAACCTATTGGTGTCATATTCTGCAGTCCACTGATGTGGAAGGCACTTACTTCTCTTCCTGAGAGTTAAGTACCTGCTTAGGCTGTCTGCACTGTCTGTAAGTGCCTTCCTTTAGGACATAGGAATGTGTAGCTATGCATATTCTCCTGGGCTTGATTTGAACCTTTTCTTTAAACTTCCTCATTGTTAATTTGTTTCTAGCCATATCAACAAGGACCCGACCATGGAGCAGGGCAGGGAGGCCTACTACTCCTCCGAGGAGTCCTTCATGAAGGACTATAAGATAATGATGACCTTGGGCCAGGGACATTTTTCCAAGGTCAAACTGGCCTTCCACGTTCCTACTGTAACCTGTGTGGCTGTAAAAGCTGTTAGAAATAAGAAGAACGCGTCGCTTGTCGAGCGTGAAGTCAACATCATGAAATCTCTCAAACATCCGAATATCATTCAGTTGTTTTACGTGCTCCAATCAAGAGAGACCACCTTCTTGGTGATGGAGTACGCATCAGAGGGAGATCTTCTTCGACACATTCTGGAAGTGGGGTCCTTAGAGGAGAGCGAGGTGCGAAGGCTATTTACCCAGATACTCCTTGCTGTGGAGTATTGCCATAGCAACCATATTGCCCACAGGGACATTAAGGCCAATAACATACTCCTGGACAGCAGAGGTGATGCCAAACTGTGTGATTTTGGCCTTGCTGCCAACGTGGCCCCAGGACAGCTGCTGAAGGACTTCTGTGGCACTCTGCTCTACTGTGCCCCAGAGCTCTTTGCAGAGGAGGCCTATGATGGGTGTGCCACAGATATGTGGAGTCTAGGTGTGCTCCTCTTCCTCATGGTGGTTGGGCGCTTTCCCTTCCGGGCCAGCTCTCCTAAAGGTGTTAGGCGTCAGATCCTTGCCGCAAACTTCAGCATACCTCAGCACGTTTCCATGGATATTTTCAATGTCATCGTAGAACTGCTGATGATCAACCCGGGAAGGAGGCCGACCATTGATCAAATCATGAAGCGCCCCATGATCAGGGACAGGAAGACTCGTTTGCCACCTGCTTCCACACAGAAACCCCCAGGCGCCCTGAGCCCAAGCATTGTCAACACCATGATGGTCATGGGGTATAAACCTGAGGAAATAATTGATTCTCTGAGAGACCAAAACTACAACCAGGTGATGGCCACTTACCTGATTCTCCAACACCAGTCTCCTGGCGGAGACTGCTGCCATCACCAGGTGAAATGCATGAAGCCAGACCTTGTCCTCAACCTGGATGATCTTCACACCTTCCCTGTGCCCCTAAGGCGAGCTAGCGAGCCTGCTCCCCTGACCTTCAAGACCTTGTCATCCAATCCCCAGGAGAGAGAGCATGAGAAGAATGCCAGGCAGTATGGCACAAGGCATAGCATGCCTGCCACCCTGTGCTGCCACTCAGAGAGGACCCGACCTCCCCACCTAGTCTACCTGAACAGGCATCGTGCTCTTTTCCTCACAAGCAGTATCGAGGAAATGAGCGAGAATTTCTCTGAGTCGATGATTGGGAAAAGTGGCAGCCTGAGGGCCAGTGTCCACCCATCATCACTCTTAATGTACACTGCTTATTCTAGTCCAGAGCTCAATGAGCCCACACGTGACACAGGCAACAGAGCTTCCTGCAGTTACCAAGAGGAATTCTGGAGCTCAGTGGAGACAGTTCAGAGTGTAACTCCCAAAGGCTCCTCCTCCTCTTGGAATACATTGCAGGAAGACACCATGTCACAAGAAGAAGACATTACTGAGCAAGTGAATATCACACAGGAAGAGGCCATGAATGATGAAGGTACCATCACACAAGAAACAACCATAACCCAGGAAGTGTCCATCACAGAGGAAGTGACTATAACTCACCAAGAAGCCACCACAAAAGAAGCAACCATTACCCAGGAAGAGGATGACACACCTGATCAGGATGACTCTATCACAGAGGAGAATGCCATCACCCATGACCAGCCTGAGGTTGCCGGCCCAGCTTCCTCCCAAAGCCGTAGGCGCCACAGGTGGAAGGGGGTCAAGAGAGCAATGGTGAACTGCCTCAGACACCTGTGCTGCTGCGTGGCCCCTGCCAATAGAAGCCATGACTCCTGTAAGAACCTGGCTGCAAGGAAACAGGATCGTGGAGTCACCCGCAGAACCAGGTGGGGACACTTACTTCATTTTACTCATTCTTTGCCTCCTGTTCTTTGTGACAGAGAATGACTGTGCACACTTGTGGCACACTTGTGAACTTAACAAGCTGTCCCTTCATAAAGACCAATTCCAGAGGATCCCCTCCAGTGTGACCTCAGGCTTGTTGAGCTAGAATTGGACAGCAGAGATGCTGATCAAAGCCTGCAGCACAGGAGGAGGGGGCATCGGTAAAGCAGGCAGTTGGGTGTTTAGGTGCCGCAGGGCCAGCACAGTAAGTTCTCGGTGTTCCAAAGTCACTAACAGTCTCCTTTCTGTGTCTTTCTGCTTTGTAGCGCTGAAGAGGTCCAGACCCAGCTCCGTGGCTTGTGAGCCACGGGTTGGGGATGGGTCTGGCTGAAATTCGGACAGCACACAGAGGAGCCAGGCCAGATGTCCAAGAATCAGTGTGTCTGCTGGCCACCCGTATTCAGCTCTCACCAGGTGATTCCCAGGCAGGGAGGGCTGACTTTACATGGGGTCTTGTTCAGAAGGCAGGGCTGAGTTACAAAGGGCACAGGCTGTGTTGTGGAACAATAGTCCCTTCCCCTATACCCTGCCTGGGTAAACATCAAGACTGTCCTCTGGGTAATAACTGTCCTGTGCCCCTTGTTTCCTGGCAGGGAACATGATCTTCTCCACAGGGTGAGCCTTTTCCTGCCAGGGAGAGTATTCCTAGTGAGCCAGTCCCATCTTCCCCAAGATTGGCTCTCAGGTTGAGAATCTGGCCTGCAGGCAGCCCCATAGAAGGCTCTAGAGTACAACTGCCTGCAAAAAAACTTGCAAAATCCTGCAAAAGTCATCACAGCAAGTTCCATTACCTGAGTCCGCAGACCCCACTCAGAGGAAAGCTTGGGAAATTCTCATCTGGGGAGTGACTCAATGGCATGAGTCCTCTCTCTCTACCACTTCTGCCCTCTAGTTACTCACCAACTGCATCTCCATGCTTGCTTCTTCAAGGCCACCATTCACATTGGGAACTGAATTCTGTACACAACACCATTTGCCACAGCATGAGGGAATGATGGGTGTCCTGATCGTGGTCGAGCCTGAAACCTTCATGGGAGAAGCAACCTCCTGCAGGCCCTGCCTACTGCCAGCCACAGTCTGCTCTCTGCCGGGCGATGGTTTCTTCCCTTTGTCTCACTCCTTGCAAGTCCAAGCCTTCAGTCAGCTGGGCTATGGTTGTTTCCATAGGTTGCTTCATTTCTCTGTGTCTTTGCAAGTTGCTTTTTCTTCCACAATAAGCAGCTTTTTGCACACCATTTGGGAGAGCTTCCTGGAAACCATCCCTGTCCACCCAACAGTCACATGGGCATGAACTCAACTTGTGTCCTCTTTCTCCCTAAACTGTTCCAACATGCCATGGCAGGAACCACAGAGAACTCTCTGTGAGTGTTGTGCATGGTCTGTCTGTCCAGCTTGTCCCTAAAGTGAACCCAGGAAGAGACGGTTCCTGGAATCATCATCTTGCTGGGACATTGTCTGTGCTCCCCAGCATGTCCCTATCGTGTTCCCTGAAGATGAAACATATTTTACTGACGTGTCCTCTGAGCAACACTAAGCTCATAGGAAAGATACTTTTGTACAGAATCTGAGAAGAAAGCAGTGTCTTATTCCTCTCTGAGGCGGAACGAGCACCCCAGATCCCTATGCTTTCTCAAAACACCATCTACAACTGCGGGAAAGGAGAATTCCCAGGATACTGTGCTGGCCTTAGACACTGGACTTGGCTGAGCTGCTTAGAGAGAACTGAGGAGGACTTCTCAGGACTCTGTCCAGCCTGGGAGGGAGATCTGCCTTGGCATGCTGATCATATTCATACAACTATATTGTTTGCCTGCCCTCCATCCACTGGAATGTGGACCACCTGGTGATTTTTCACCTCTCTCTCTCTCTCCCTCTTTCTCTCTGTCTGTCTGTCTCATTTTTCTCTGCCTCTATCTCTGTCTCTGTGTCTACTTTACATGAACAACTTCCATGCAGGTGAGCTGCTCTGTCTTAAACTAGATCTGAAAAGAATCACTACACCCTGAAGAAGGCCATGAAAAGCAAACAGTAATGCAAGCATAGAATTGCCATTGACTGGAGCTGATACAGAAAGTATCACTAAGACATGAAACCTTGTATCACCCACCTCAATAATAACAGAATCACAGAACATGGTAAGGGAACCCATTCTGTCTACAACCCAAGAAGGAAATTGTCTTTCATTCCCTGAAAATTGTGTTAAGATGTCACATGAACACTTCCATTTTATTTTCTTTTGGTTCTGTCCACATTGTTTGGAAGGAAACTCTTTTCCTTTGTTGGTTTTAGTGTTCACACACAGTCTTGTCCTGCAACTCGGGTGGACTGATGTGCTGTGTGTCGTCCATGCTGGCTTTATTTCCCTGTGGTGCTGCTGACTCTGTTCCTCCTCAGGTGCACTGGAACACTGCTAGCATTTGTGGTTTAGGCAAGAACTCATCTCTCCCAGGCAGGCAGCCCTATAGACAAAGATGACCTGGAGCAGGATCTTAGTCTTCTTGTCTTCCTCCCCAAGGCAGAATTCGTGTTTCTGAACCCCTCTGCCTTGTTAAGTAGGAAGAGCTCAGGGTCAGTGTAGGGAGTTCCAGGCTGAGTGTAACCCTTCACAAGGAACATGCACGTTCTGATTATTTAAATTCTGAGATGTGGATTCCGGCGCTGGGAGCTGCGTGAATGCAAAGACTGAAACCAGGCTGTGGCAGTTTCCTTGTCTCATCTCAGGCCTGGTGGAGGAGAGAGGCAGGAATGGCAGCTTGCTGCCCAGATGTCAGGGAGACACCTCATTTGAAAAGTAAGGTGGAAGTCCATGGTCGTGGAGCACCACATAACCCAGGACTGGGAGCAGCCTGATCTCTGTTGTTTCTGGTCTGTAGCCTGGGCTACAGAGAGAGTTCAAGCACAGCCACTTGTGGACAAAGAAACCCTTTCTCAAAAATCAAACTGAAGTATTAGGGTGTAAAAGCACTGTGTCTCTATTCCTGGTCTACACACGAGCTCAATCAGTGAGAAGAGACAGACAGACACGACCACTCACACATACACCCCTGTCAGGCTAATATACACACATACTCATTATGTACAGTTCTCCAATCCTGCCTTACCTGTTCCTCAATTCTGTCTAGACCCTATATCCATCGTATTTTATTCTCATTTTCAAAATTCAAGACTCGTAAACCCCACAGTGACAGATGTATCAGGCTTTTCTTATAGAATTCCTTTTTCCCTTCTCTCTTCTTATTTTGAAACAGGTTTCCTGTATGCAGTACAGGCTGCCAAGAATGGCGACCCTGCTGCACCCAACTGAGTGTTGGGGCTACAGGTGAGCTCCTATTCCTATTGGGTTTTGTGGCTTTGTTTTTAAATGATGCATGTAGCTGTGGATATCCTTACATTTTTAATCTTTCTATCTCCATGTACCAATGAAGGGATTAAAGTAATTCTCCACCAAGTCTGGTTTATTTTGTGCTGGGGACAAAACCAGGCTTTCCTGCATGCTGGGCAAGTGCTGTCCCAACTGACTCACACCTGTATCTCAGCCAAGCCTGGGATCCACTGTGTAGCTGAGGAAGACCTGGAGCTCTGGGTCATCCCTATGGAATAACAGATCTGCACCATTGACCCTGCCTTTTCTCTTTCACTATTTCTAGATGACCTGACTTTCTACTGAGAGTCTTTTGAAGGACCACAAACACGAGCGTAGCCTTTTCTTCTGAAGCTGGTGAGCTGTGACCTGGGTGGGAGGGAGGTAAAGGAAGCTGTCCCCATCCCATGCCATGTCAAGGACACTCAGGTCAGTGTGCAGCAGCCCAGGTCATCACCTGTGTAGCCAGTTATTTTCAAAGCCCCGTTCTGATTAGCAGTCCTCAGGCTGGTCTCATCTAACTCTCTATGCAGCTCCGTGGGGCAGAATGGAAGGCAGAAGCCTCTCCAGTGCATGTCCACAGCAGCAGCTGATGATAGTAGGAAGATGAAGCCTCACATTGCTTGAAGGTTCAGTCCCCTCACCCCTGGGGTCTCACTCCCTCCCATTTGCCCTTTCTAGGCACTTTGTGGATTTCCCTTAAGACTAGATGGCAGATCCAAGGTGAAGGTGTATGCCAATAATCCCAGGATTCTGGAGGCTTAGATTGGGGACTAGCCATAGACTCAAGTCCAGCCTGTGCATTATAAGGAGCAGTAGTCTAGCTTTGGTAGCATTGTGAGATCTCTCTCTAAAAACAGAATGTGAACAGGAGGACTTGAGATCAGCGGGTCCATTGTGCGCAGTGGTTATTGTTCATGGGGTTTTTTGCCAGCACTAAATAATATCAGGTGGATTTTGCGTGGTATTGGGGGTAGAGACAAGAGCATCAGACAATCAAGGACATCTTCCAAAGCACAGAGTTTGAGGCCAGTCTAGGAGGAATGGCACTATTTTATTTTTATTTATTTATTTATTTGTTTGTTTGCTTTTGTGAGACAGGGTTTCTCTGTATTTTTTGGAGGCTGTCGATCCTGCCCAGCCTCGAACTCACAGAGATCTGCCTGCCTATGCCTCCGGAGTGCTGGGATTAAATGCCTGCACCACCACCGCCCGGCTGACACTATTTTAAGTTAACAATCCCTACTCCCAAATCTTAATCCCCATATCTGAGAAAACAATGACATGGCAACCCACCACACCCTCATATTCCTCATGAATCAGAATGCCTTTCCCATGTATAGATGAAAACAGAGCTTCCAGATGTGCAGTGAATATTTCGAGTGATTCACATCTGGAATTGGCTGAGCATGGAGTCATCTCTTGTGCAGTGTACTGAGGAGCTGTTCAGTAAGTGCTTCCTATTGATCATGTGGGAGGAGGGAAAGGGGAGGAATGGAAACTCAGTCCTGGGCAAATGAGAAAGGCAGAATGCAGCAATCTCTTGAAGCTGTGAGACCCTCTGATCTTTTGCTGCCACCTTGTGGCCACTCTATACCTGTTCCCAGTTAGTGCCCTTGATTTGCTGCACCCCCTGCTTCAACTCAGGACACAATTGTGGTGGTTATGTGGGTTTCAGACTGGGGTGGAGGGAGGCTTGCCGTGTGAAACCCACCTAACATGCTTTTGTCATTCCTTCTTTCATTCTTTTTCCCATTTGTGATAACAAACAAAACACCTTTCAGAGCTGGGCTGTCCTGATTTTCCTGAACCGATTTCATAGACACACTGCTGCTCCTGGACATGCCGTCCACAATTGAGATGACTGGGTTGTGAGTCAAGACTGTGAAATCCATACCTGGGTGAGATTCAGAAGCACAAGAGGGCTGGGACGGTGCCTGTCTGTCCATACAGTGCCTGCTTTCATTGTGAGATATGTGGTCATGACCCAGAGAGCCAGGGAAAACCAGCTGGCTGGCTGAGGCTTGTTACCCTAGAACTTGGAGATGGAGGGACATGCATGTACCTTTTGTTTTGTCTTTGTTTTGTTTTATTATGTTTCTGAGACAGGGTTTCTCTGTCCTTTCCTGTCTCTCTAGAGCAGACTGGCCTTTGTGTCACAGACAGTTGCCTGCTTCTGTCTCCCAAGTGCTGGGATCAGAGGCGTGCACCACCACAAACATGACCACACTTGACTGCAGGTGCTTCAACCTTGCTGGACTTGAGAAAGCCTGTTTCCAAAACACAAGGTGTACATATCTGTGAGTTAACATTTGAGGGAATACATGGGCTACTTACTTAAAAGTTAGAGCATACACATGGATATATACAAGGACACAGATGCACAAGCACACAATTGTAAACATATTACATGTGAATGTGTCTACACACACACTCACACACACACTCACACACCAAAGTAAGCATGGTGATAAAGAAAAACAAAGTTAGTTGAAGGACCAGGTGGCGTTTGGAGGTCCTGACCTTCATGCAGGAGCATCCTGGAGGCCAAGACCAGAAGAGTGAGACATGGTGATGCTGCTGAGATACTGGGGTGGTCCTCTGTGGGTGCTAGGTGATGACAGAGCCCAGGAAGCCACGCTTCTGGCATGCTTACTCTTGACAGGCAGATGGAGTAGGTGGGATGACAAGGAAGTTCCAGCTTCATTAGCACTCATGTCACCTAATGCCTCTGCTTTCTGCAGCTTGGTTCTAGGAGGTTTCAGAAGCCAAGGGAGATGACTTTGCAGTAGGAGAAAAGAAGACCACCTCCATCAATTCTACTAGCACCCCCAAATCATTGAGTTATGTTTCTTAAGTTGGAAATAAATTAAATTCTTTAATGAGGTGTTGTCTTTTTATTTTTTATTTATTCTCTGTTTCCATACCAATCCCAGTCCCCCCTCCTGTTCCTCCCTACATTTACCCATCCAAACTTGCATTTTCTCCTCAGACAGGGTAAGGCATCCCATGGGGAGGCAATGAAGTCTGTCAGATCCCCAAATTGAGGCTGAACCAAGGCCCACACCCCTGTGTCTATGCTGAGCAAGGCCTTTCTCCATAGCGAATGGGCCGTAAAAGTCCAGTTCATGCAGGCACAGATCCTATTCCCACTGCCAGTGGCCCACACTCACTGCCCTTGACACACCAGTGTCAACTGCATTCAGGGGGCCTATTTCAGTGCTCTGCAGGGTTCCCAACTGTCTGTCTGGAGATAGTGAGCTCCTGCTAGCTCAGGTCTGCTGTGTCTGTGATTTTCCCCCATCCTGGTCTTGATCCCTTTGCTCATATTAGCATTCCTCCCTCTCTTTCACTGGTCTCAGTAGCTAAGGCCACTGGATAATTGTGGCTCTCTAATTTCTTGATTATCCCATAATGGCTCCTCTATCATAATATTTCTGTCCTTGCTCTCCTGCCCTGTCTTTCCCCCAAGCAGACCCCCCCATTACCTCATGTTCTCCTGCTCAGGCCCCTTCCTTCCAACACTCTCAGCTTCCAATTTACTCAGGAGATCTTCTCCATTTGCCTTCCTAGGCAGATCCATGTCCTCTTTGCTAGCTAGCTTCTCTGGGGTTGTGGACTCTAGACTGGTTGGTATTTGTTTTATGTCTAATATCAACTTATGAGTGAATATACCATATTAGTTCTCACTCAAGCATGTTTTTTCTAGTTCTGTCCCTTTGCCTGTAATATTCAAGATGCTTTTTTTGTTTTGTTTTCCTTTGTTTTTACCACTGAGTATGGGTGCGTGTGAGCCTACAATACTATCCAGGGGCATGAACAGTGGTGGGGGGACAGGTGGAGATATAAGGGAAAGAGAATGCAAAATTCCTCTCATTGGAAGCTGGCCACACTTCTCATCTTCCCAGATTTAAGTGCTTTTTCCTGCTGATAAAAATATTTGTTACCCCATTGCATTGATTCCTCATCAAGTATGCTCCATTGTGTAGGTGTACCACGTTTTCTTTATCCATCTTAAGGGCATCTAAGTTGATTTTTTGGTACTGGGTATTACAAAAAAATGCTACGAACACAGTTGTCCAAATGCCCCTGTGGTGTGGTGTGCATTTTATGGATATATGACCAAAAGTGGTATCAATGGGTGACAAGGATGGTTCATGCAATATGGAAATTAAGATATTTATTTACCAGAGTAAGAACTTACACACAAGCTGGAAGATCAGGCAGGTTTCCAAGTAATATTTGTTGTTACAAATGTCGGTGCCCTTATATTTGGGGCATAGATATTCAGAAATGAGAGTTCATCTTGATGGATTTTCCTGTAATAATAAATATGAAATATCCCTTATCTTAATTAATTTAATTTGATGTCTAATTTGTCAGATATTATGATACATACACCAGCTTGTATCTTAGGTCCATTTTATTGGAAAATCTTTTCCCAATCCTTACTCTCAGGTAATGTTTGTCTTGTATGCAGCAGAAGGATGGATTCTGTTTCCATATGTATTTTGTTGATCTGTGTCTTTTTATAGGCAAGTTGAGACCTCTGATATTACGGGATATTAATGACCACTTATTGCTACTTTGCATTACTTTTGTTTTAGTGTTGTTGGTAGTATTATGTACGGGTTCTCTTAGAAATTAGCTGGTGGGGGTTATGTACTGCCTGTATTTTTGTGGGTGTAGCTAACTTCCTGTGGTTGGAGTTTTCCTTCTAGTCCTTCCTGTAGGGCAGAATTTGTGGATAGGTACTTTTTAAAATCAGACTTTGTGAAGGAGTATCTTGTTTTCTCCATCGATGGTGATTGAATGCTTCGCTAGTTATAGTCTTCTATTTGGCATCCGTGGTCCCGTAAGTGTCTGCATAACTCCTGTGTAAGACCTTCTGGCTTTGCTTGTTTCCAGTGAGAAGTGGGATATATTTCTTGGCCTTTTCCTTTGAAGCTCTTAATATTTTCCTTATTCCATATGCTTAGTGTTTTCATTATATGTGGCAAGAGAACTCTTTTTCGTCCCATATATTTGGTTTTCTGATAACATCTGGTACTTTCATAGGCATACCCTGTATGTTCAGAAAGTTATCTTCTATGATTTTGTTGAATGCATTTTCTATTCCTTTGTTTTCCTGGACTGCTTCTCCTTCTTCTATCCCTAGTAATTCTTAGTTCCAGTCTTTTCATTGTGTCCCCAGTATCTTGGATATTTTGTGATAAGAGCTTGCTGGATTTAACATTTTCTTTGACTATTGGATACTTTTCCTGGATGGTACCTACAACGCTTGAGATACCCTCTTTGATCTCTTGGATTCTGTTGTGTATGTTCACATTTGTCATTCCTGATCATTTACCCAGATTTTCACTTTTCAGAATTCCCTGGGCTTGTGTTTTCTTTATTGTCTCTGTTTCAGTTTTCAAGTCTTTAACCATTTCATTCATTGTAAATGGAAGCCTTCCCGCCATCCTGTTCCAAAGCCACATCAGTCCCAAATAAACACACAGGAGGCTATGTTAATTATGAAGCTGTTGGTCTTGCTTGTTTCTTACTGGCTATCTCTGACTTAAGTAATTACCCCATTATTGTTAATGTTAGTATATCTCTTACCAGAGAAGTTTAAGGGCTTCCTAACCCATGGCGTTACATCTTGACTCTCTGTGTTTCTCCTTCCCAGAGTCCTCCTGGACTCATAGTCCCACCTATCTTGATTCCCTATTGGCCAGCAGTGCTTTATTGACATATACACAGGACTTACCCAACATCTCCTGTTTTCTGTCTAAACAAAAAGAAAGGTCTTAACTTTAACATAGTCAAATTGTATATAACAGAACAGTTATCAAGTAAGAACATAGTTACAATATTTTAGCAAGATTTAAAGAAAATATCATCCATCCCATCCTTGTGAGTCCAAAATTCTATATGTAGCTTATCTTTTATCATAACTAAGGAAAAGTATAATTATAACTGTCTTCAACTCCATCAAAGACTACAGAAGGATAATATGTAAATACTAGGATTGACAGAGATATCTTACTGCCTGGACAGTCACCCGAAGTTCCTCTGTAAAGTTGGGGCATCCATCTTCAGCCCATAGGCCACAATGTGTCTGGAACACTTCTCAGCAAAGCAGGAAATTTTAAACTGTCCATCTGCATTAGCAGTCTGTCAGTCATTTTTCTGTGTCCTGCAGAAAGTCTCATAGACTCTTCCATGAAGCAGGAACCTTGTAAGACTGAGTTCAGCAGTCACTTTCCTGCGGGTCCTGCATGTCCAGATTATACAACAACAGTCAAGCAGTACAGGCAAGAGCAGTTTCTTGACCAAATGGCTAATCTTGCCATGTTGAAATCAAACTCCATAATGAAGTTTCTTCGATGCCCATCTTCCTCTCAGACATAATTGATGCTGCCAGGAGCAGACATTTCTCATTGTCAAGAAAAACCCTAAACCATTTTAAATGCCATTTTCTGAAGGTCTTTGAAAGGTTTGAAGTTTGTCTATCTATCTCAAATATATTTCTGTATATCTAGAAGACATAACTTTAAGTTCTGACTATTATAAGTAACTATCTATAGTCTGTATTGAATTATGCATTATGTTTTAAAAGATCAGTATAATCACAATACTTAATCAAGAGGAAAAATATACATATCACAAAATTGACCTTAAATTTGTATCAATAAATGAAAAACCATACCCATACCATAATTCTGCTTAAAGGAGATTGGCTGTGATCATTAGAAAATTATAAAGAACCCCATTTAAATGAAAACAAAGATTTATAAACAAGATGGGAATTAGGACGTTGCTCATTCCAAACTGCATCATGCTGGAAGGGGGGCTGATCATACCATGGGGATCATGACAAAACTCAGAAACCTGTATAAGTCCTTAGTTTCAGGGTCTGTAAGACTGCATCATCTTAGCTGTTTCAGTTGTTGGAACACTTGGTCCACTGCTTCCGGGGGTCATCAAACCACAGAAGCCTGGAAGGAATCCTCAGATTTTCATTTTCTGTAGAAACATAAACAAAAACTTCTATCCCAAGCAACATATCCTTATACTTAAATTTTGAAGGAAAGGCATTTTCAAAAGATATACGTTGAATTAATTCAGCAGCATTTATAATCAAGTGTACTTTAGCAGTTGTTCCTTCCTGAGCAATCAAAAAACTGAAAAACACAATAGCATACAGTATCCAGACTTTCTGTCTTTTTCCATCTTTACGTGGCTTATTTATTTATCTATTATTATTATTCTATTTCTTTTACTTTGATTTATTTATTTTTCTCTGAGACAGGGTTTCTCTTTGGAAATCAGCCTGCCTCTGCCTCTGCAGCAAATCCTACCAGCGTGGGACACCACAGCCAGCTTCTCTACTTATTTACCACTATGTTGGTTTTTTTTTCTCTCAATCTTATGTATACTTTTAAACACACTGTAAACCTTTAGAAGTTTTTCTTCATCGAAGTCTGACTTTACTGTAAATCTTTACGTTTTTCTAGCCACGTGTCTTATCTGTTAAAACCACTGCTGTTTAAACTGCCGTTTTTTTCCAAGATGGCAGGCGTAAGCGTAATTCCAGCTCATTGCCTCAGTCTATGCTTGGAGATGTGGTCCCTGCCACTTCCAGCTGTACGTACACAACTTTCAATCGTTAGCAGAGCCTCTTAAAAGAACCTTGCTATTTTTTTTTTTTTTGCTAAGTCAGGAAGCCTCACTTAAGCCAGCCGAGTGAATCTCTGTTTGTTGCTAGCAAAACAGAGCCCACCTGAGAAAATGCTGCTACCAAAAATCCATGCTTTTCTCCGTTCTTTTGTTTCTAAAATTCCTTTAAAGCTTTTGCCATTCTGCGTGGAAATTCAATCCCGCTTCTGACAACCATTTG